ACTTATAGATAGGGGTGTGTTGATGTTTTTTTCTCATGCAGATCCTTACTTTAGATGAAGATATAAAAGAAACTCAGGATGAGAGACAAGGAAAGATGTTACTCCACACTGAATATTCCTTGCTGTCTTTATTACATAACCAGGAAGGAGTTGTACACCATCATGGATTATTTCAGGTCAGAATATTATACAATTTTCACGATTTTTAACTAAAATTTTAACATTTTATTTTTTAAATGTTAAATTAAGTTTAAGTCAAGGTCGCATGGCACACTTTGGTCGATAGGGTACATTTCCTCTAATCTGTTCAGTGGAATATATATTAAAATCATGTTTAACCGATCAGCATATCAAAGGACACTCTGATTTCCAGCCGTTGACAAAATTTTTGAATCACGTGGCAAAGGACATTCTGTTATTACTTGCAGCGAAGTTATAGTCCAATTTTTTTACTGCTGTTTTTAATATGTCTTTGTATTTTTCTGACTTTTCGTCAAATCAAAACTATTGATTGAATTGACTTGAATTGCCCATGTAAATAATTTGTGATGTGTGCAATGAGTTTTTCTAGAATTATGCCGATAAACTGTTTAAAATTAATGATCTCATGAATATTCATGAGCTCATGAGTATTAATGAGGAAGCAGCACTCCAATTGGGTTGCTAAGAACTCTGATAACAGTAACTCGCAATTTACGAATGGCCTGTCATTCAGAAATGACTTTGTCTTGTGTTTGTGCTTAAGAAAGTAAATAATATCCCCTTTTTTTGTAAACATAAGCTTTGCCATCTTTGCATGCCGCTTATTTATTTATAAAAACTGACAATTCACGTCTTTGTATTTGCAGGATAAAGCATATGAAATCAAGAAACAAGAGACTTCAAAAAGTTGTGCCAATAGCCCGGGCAATGTTAAAAGAAGAATATGTCTTGTTTTGGACTGTCTGGTGGCACATGATTTTAGTGACAAAACTATCGATTTGATGAATTTACAGCACTATGTGATCAAGGAGAAGAAACTCAGCGAAAAAGAAACTATAATTATATTTTTTGATATTGTTAGAAATGTAAATAGCCTACATATGGTGAGTAACATGTCCAGTGTACTTTGTTGCAAATAATAATCGAATGCAAAAATCACACTTTGTCTCCCTCACAGAATAATTTATTAATTATTATTACTTTATTACCAATTTTGATCAAGACCTATTATGTCCATTTGGTTTATAATACTAGTAGACTAAGAGATTAGAAACTAAGAAATAAACAGGATCTCACTAAGCTGGTCGGCAATGATCAGTACAACTCACTGACACTCAAAATTAACAACCACCGTGGCAACGTTGCCTACCAGAACAATTGTCCTATTGTTATTATAATTACATACCGACTGGCAACATCCTGTACTCGTAGATTAGAATTTGTAAACAATAGACCTGTGGTTTCAGATCATAAACGATTCACTAGTCAAATTTGTGAAATTAACACCTGTTCTGATGATACACAAAACAAAGCTTAAAATTCAGTCAAAATCATCAAGATCTATTTTTGCTTTTTGAGAACAAACAGTTGTTTGGGGGGGAGTAAAATTCAAACTGTTATGATCATAAATGATAACAAGACTCTGTTTTTCAACGCTTGTTTTACCTTTTATAAATTTCTAATCACCTCTTTTGAAAATCATCATGCAGTTTTACTGAAATCAATGCCAACAAATTATACTACAACATTGTTTACTTCCGCAATACAATCTTCACAATCACTGCCATTCTGAAAATGTTTTTTTCTTTGAAATATCCATGCGGCATTCCGATTGGTTGATGCGCCACAAACATGGCGAATCTGTGTTCTTTACTCAGTGATCGAAAACATTCCATCACGATAAAACTAAAATTAAACATTCTGGTGACTCTAATACCTAAAATAATTATTTTATTTCTTCACAGAAAAATATTGTACATAGAGATTTGAAATTAGGTAACATGACTTTAAATAAACGAACACGACGAATCACAATTACCAATTTCTGTCTTGGTAAACACTTGGTGAGTGAAAACGATCTACTGAAGGACCAGCGAGGTAGTCCTGCTTATATCAGCCCCGATGTTCTCAGTGGTAAGTTTGAATACACTTTCATTAGATCTGCTTCTAATTTTAAATAACAGAAGTTCATTTTTTTTCTTCTGAGAATTTAAAATGCCAGTCTTGAAAAAAAAATCATCAAGTGTTTCCATAACAACCATACAGAAGCAGGTAGCTTCCAAGACATCAAGTCAGGAAACCTGGACATTGGACATCGTTTTATATTTCCGAATAATCACAGCGTCTATTAAGACTATCATGGCGACCATGAACCGTGTTAAATACTCTGCACTCAGTTTACAGTTTTCAAAAATTCTGAGTCGCTAGTTCTAAAAAAATGTCTGTGTTTTTTGTCAAAATCAGGATTAACATCGTATTTTAACACAGCAGTAATTACAGACTCTGTCAGCATTTACATTTCGTTTGCATAACTTTGCCATTCATAATATAGCAGTTAATACGATTGAATGAAATAAATTGAAGGGCAATCGCATCATGATCTTCTATTTATGTTTGATGTGCCTCAGTCGCCCCCTATTACTTTGACATCTCCTGTTGAAGTTGGTTTGATCCAACTTGTTCTAATTGCATAATGATCATAGCAAACCAATCAGAAACTTAGCTGGCAATATCACTGCTAGAAATTTTTGCCAGTTCAAGATTTTATGGTATTAACAAAGACAAAATTAATTGACACTCAATTTGTAGTACCGGCAGCCCAGGAAAATTTTTACATCACAAAATCTCATGAATTCATAAAAAAAAAAAAATTTTCTGGTAAAATTAAAGCAGTCATATTACTCACTAAAATAGCGGTGCCTGTAACGACCAGAAAATGGCAGGTGATTCAGAACGTTTTAAACTCGCTCCGAGTGAGATCTCTTCAAAATCTGGAAATCTCCTATTTCATGTGCACTGTTAAGAGGTTAATTATTCACTGGGTTTT